AAGAAAAGAAAAAAAAACACGCCCTACATATACATAACCGACATTTCTGATGAAAATTTGAGGTTTGTGCCTAGATTTTCCTCTCTTTTTCACATTTCGTATATCATTATTCCGATAATGATTCCGACAATGAATGTTTTATCCTGAATTTTGGACAAAAAGTTTCTCTCTTACATTATTGTCAAAATAATTGATACATTTTTTAAAAAACGATTTTTAAAAATACTTTAGAAAATATCGATAAAGTTCTAATTTATTATAATTTTTGTTCAATATAAATGTCCCATTTTTTTATTTAATATAAATATATCATTTTTTTTATTTAATATAAATGTATCATTTTTTTATTTAATATAAATGTATCATCTTTTTATTTTATATAAATGTATCATTCTTTTATTTAATATAAATGTATCATTTGTGTTGCAGGGAGCTTGGAGATCGGCCCGCACGCCAACGCGGTCCGGCGGATCATCGTCGTGCTGAGCCCAGCATCCCTAGGCAACATCTGGACGGACGCGAGCGTCGGCGCGGCGCTGAAGCAGCTGTCATCGTTGCCGATGAAGACAATTGTCATTTCGCTCAAGAGCCTGCCGAGCACGACGATGACGATCGCGAAGCGGTCGCGACGCGATCGTCGCGACGTCGACGCGATCTCGTTCGATCGATTGACGATCCTGTGCTGGCAGCAGGATGGCGGCGACGCCGGTAACGGCAACGGGGGCACCGCATCCTTCGGCAGCGGCGGTCGCAAGTTCTGGTATAAGCTCAGGTTGGCGATGCCGGCGATACGACCGATGGCGTCCGAGACCGGTTGCCAATCGGTGGCTATGATAGTGCAGGCTAACGGCAAGTGCGGACAGCAAAAGGCCCGCTCGCGCGAGAGTCTGGAGGTCCTTGTTTAGGATCCTCGGCTCTCCTCTGTAGGTTCGTTCATTCCGAGCAATCCTTGCGCGAGCGGAATCACTCGGTACCGATTTTCGCGATGATCGCGGCGTCGAGAGGAGCTCGATCTCGATTCGGATCTCGCGCAAACAGATCTCTCAAGATCCTTGTCGTTCAAAAGGCGTCCACTCGTGTCCTGATTCGAGGATTGATCTCGCGAGAAGGATCTTTTGGTCCTTGATTATCGACTCGATGCAAAAATTGTGCGACGATCTCGATTTCGATTATGCAAATTTTGCGCGAGAATCTGCAGCTTTCTCCTCTCTTTCGGAACTTTTACTCCTTTGTTTTTTACCTGAGATCCCGTAAAAGGACGATTTTCGGAAAAAATTGCGTGACTTAAATTTTTGGCGCGATTTATAAAATGCGTGCGTCAAGAATGTGAGAATGACATTTTGCGTCATTGAGTGTTTAATGAAAATCGAATCTTTGAGATTAAAATTTACAATCTTGTTTGATTTTGGCGGTTCGAATTATCGCGCGAGAAACATGAAAGAGCCACATTGTAGCTTTATATTATCATGTTATAACTGCGTTTCTTGTCGCAAACCGTGTCGTATGATTGGAAAGCAAATTCGATTTTATTATCGCACAACAGAAAACAGCTGCACGCATCATAAAAAAAAAAAAAAAAATAAAAATCAAGCAGAAATTTTCTCATATAAATTTTTAGAACTTCGATTCTTCTGAATTTTGTAGTTTAAAATTTTACACTCTTCAACCTTTAGATTTTACAATCTTCAGTTGTGGAAAATCAATTTTAAGATGACGAAAAAAATCTCATTAAAATCTCTGGATACACACGAATCTGCTCGATTTCTTTTTAGAACACCCTGTAGTTGATAGGCACGGAATAAAGGGAAACACCTAAACGGGTATTTATATATTTTAGCGAGGTGCAACTGTGTTCTCGATTACATCTGACTAATCGACGACGCGAAGCGTGAATTTGCAACACGAACATTAAAAACGTGGAGTAACTTCCGTATATTTTTTATTGTCAAACGTCTACTGAATTTTTAATAAAGTGTAAAAATCGAAGAAACATTCCGACAGCAAAAGAAGCGAGAGAGAAAGGATTCTTTAGCGAATATCTTGCTGGTTATTAAAAGTGAATTAACTCAATTAATGTCATTTTGTTTCTTTATTCGATTGTGATTCTTATTTTTACGGTTTTTTGAAATTTGTATATTTAAGATGAGAACATTACTTCTGCCAATTGATTGGAACTCTGTGCTAAAAACAAATTTGAAAGGTACCAAAAAAAGACAAAATAAATAACCATAATATAATAAATAAAAGATATTTTCCTTCGAAAATCAACATCCCAAAATAAAAATCTTTGTTAGATATCTTTGAATGTGAAATAATGTTAAAAGAAATTTAAACATCAAATTTTTATTCATCGCTTTCCTCTTTTTCTGTTTTATGGCAGACTCGACTATTGATTACATTATGACAACGAAAATAAAATTTCAGATTAAAGTAATGAAATCACTGAAATAAGTAGATGTTTCCAAGATTAATAAATCCTTGGATCTCTTGAAATTTTACATTATTTTTTGAATAACATCGCTATTCTCGCAAAAATTTCATGTATAAATGATTAAAAAATCTGGTCGTTTTTTTTTTTGCGCGATTTTCCGAAAAAGCGAATTTGCTTTATACAATCGACGAATCGATTCGATTATCCTAACATTCCGACTGTTTGATGGACGAAAAGAATGGAAAGATGGAAATGCGCAGTCTTCCTTCTCGCGCGCGTGATGAGAATTTTATTATCGGCGTTCCGTTATCACTGGCGTTCTATCATTTCTCTTTTTTTTTCTTTTTTTTTTTTCATTGTGCTTATCGTTACTCTTCTTTGTATATATTGAAAATCTATATTTATTTAGCTAGCCGCGTTTTATTTATATGTACAAATTGCGTACATTTTAATCGATCGACCCTTTAACTAGTGAATAAGATTTTAAATTCCTGTTTCGAGAGATATGGAAAAGAAATATTTGTTTAAGTACTTATAAATATTTGCGCACTTGATACGCGTGGCAAAAATCTGGAAATAAGTTTATCTAAATGTATAGGATGTAAATTGTAAATTATATTTACTTATATATTTTATTACTCGCGCAAATTTTTAGTTAAAATTATATTCGAATTCTGGTTAAAGGGTTTATACAATCGCGCGGAAATGCACTCCGATACGTCACATTTGCGCGACATTTTCTCTAAAAGCTGGTTTATCGCGAGCGATAACGGCATAATTCCGCATTATCGTTCGATATAATATACGTCAACTGCCTCGGGATGTTAATATATAAGCGTTTTATACTGTTTTATATATATATATATACATATATGTGTATACATATATACATATGTAGGCGTACAAGGTGTATTCCATACCGAATATTCCTGGACATCCCTGAGCGCACAATCGGTGTCAGTAATCGTTGCTTGCTAATCGTTATCACATTTTCACTCTTCGAAGACGGGGAGTAACACTCGCGATTTTCTGGATTCTCTAGAAGGGATATTTTTCTTAAATTTCCTTCATATTTTCCTGAATTTTTGATCTAAGTATATATATATATTTGGAATTTTTTTCATAAATTAAACTTAGGATATTTTTTGTTTTGTGTAAAAATCGCGATTGTATAAATTTATCACGAATATTTTCTTATTGAATTTATTTACAAATGTAAAAATCATTGCTTTAACCAGGAAACAATTCCATTATCAATCGCATTTTTATCAGAACTATATCAGCGATTGTCAGTCCTATTCCAGGGAATTGAATTGGGGCCCAGCGCACGAAATCCGAAAATTCAGAATGTTTGCGTAGGTTGTATACTACGAGGAATGACAAAAACATCGTAAAAACAATAAAAATAAAATAGAAGATAAGTGTTAATTATAATCGTAACCGTGATTCATGATTGTAACTTAGGCGAGAGGAAGGAAAGGTAGAAGAGTGAGGTGGGGAGGAGACAATTAGAGGGAAGGTTAATTTTTAACGTTGATAGCAATTATTCTCTTTACTGTCAGTATTACGACACACTAGTGTACTCGTCTCGCCGAGGATGCCAGCAAGGACCCTTGCAAAGGATAATCGCGAGCCGAGTAAGCAGAGTATATAGATGTAGTAATTACATTTGAACGGTGCGTTTCGTAGAGGGACTCCGAATTGTTTTTTTCCGAAAATAGGGTTGTAATTCTCTCGCGTATTTGTAGGGAACACCATGCGAGACAAACTGGTCATTCCAGAAATAACAATTTTTCGAAAGGCTCGCCAAAACATCGTTTTCAAAAGTTAAATCATTAAAAAGAGACTCGTTTTTTTTCAAAAATTTGTAATATATAATTAGAGACTTGCATTTCTTATAAAATTTCCAAAAAATAGTCTAAATATTTTCTTAATTTTTTTAAACATTAGATATCATCTAATATAAGCAAGAAGAAGAATAAAATAAGATTAAATAAATTTATTAATTTTTGATAAGATTTTTATATAGTTCGCTCTCAAATTTGACAAAAGAGCAGATGTGTTCCTTTCGCAAATGAACCGTTTATTTGTCTTTTTTTTTTTTTAATTTTTCTTATTGGTCTTATCGTTGCATTGTTCGTCGCTATCGATAAGACGGTTTAGCGAATGATTTACTTATTTAATCAATTAATCTTTGTATTTTGACAATAAAGTCTCTCTAGAATTCTTAGAAGTAGCGCGATTCGCGTACGTTCTCTTTCTCCTTTTTTTTTAACTATAAATAGTTTAATCGATAAGAGACAAAACGAACAAGTTGGGATCGTACGTGTATAATTCTAGATAAATGTTTATCTAGCGTGCGTCTGATTATGACTGGTCGATTGTTTGGCGGCGCGAGTAATAAAAGCCGTTTACACGTGTAAGATGTTCTAACTGTTTATAGCGGAGCATATGTTTTGTGACATAAGAATAATTCTTTGTATATGCCGTGTATATCTAGGTCCTATCTAGAGGATGATCAGATCCTATAAGCGCAATTTTTTTAAAGAGAATGTAATTGTAATTTACATTTTATTATACTTATTTTATTTTCCACTTAGATTTAAGCAATGCGTGTCTTGTCGCAATTTCGTTGATTAATTTTAATTATCGAAAATAATTAGTATTTCTCGATAAGTAATTAATTCTCTTGTAATCTTATTTATTGATCCTTTCGTTTTATTCTCGTTCAGTGATTCGACCATCTTTTTAAATAAATGGATTCATGTATTTTGATAAATAATAAAACATCTCAAACGTCTTCAGAGTTGCATGTACTTACCAATCTAATCAAGAATATTGCTATCTTGAATCTTTTTTTTTTAATCGATCCTTCGATTTGTTGGATTTTCGAGATGTAATTCTAATTTATTATTTATATATATACTTTACATATCTAATCAACTTATTTTTCTCATAAGATAAATAAAGAATTTATTATAAGATCTATTCAACCCAGCATAATATGAGTTCATGCATCTCCTTATAAAAGAAAATAACATATGTTTTGTATCAACAATAAGTTCTAATTATGTCGACTTCAATTATCACTGCCGTACAAAGGGGACATAATTAATATTTGTAATAACATGATCGTTATAGAGACAAGAGCATAGTTCTGTAATTTAAAAGAAGAGGAAATTATAAAAAAGCAGATTATATATGGCATGCCCAATAAGATGATAACGTAGATTATTTACATAAATAATAATTTGTATCTATATTTCGTTTACAATGATTAATACAATATAATAGGCACTTTTAAGTAAGATATTGTAATTCGCATTTTCAGCTTAAAAAAAGAGTACAATACATCTATCTACATATATAATAAATATTGATGACGACGATTACAATACGGACGTTCATGTATAGTGTATAGGATATATCCTCGTGAAAAGCTTGTGTCCGTAACCCCTCTTTAATTCTTCGTCCTGCTATCAGTATCTCAAAGTAACAGTAGCTTCAAATAATTACGATAATAATTCAATAATTAAAACGCAGTTTTCATATAATTATTTGAATATAATTTAAATAATGAATATTATATATGTAATATAATGACTATACTATATTTAAAAAAATTAGACTATGTTTAAAGTAACATTTGAAGTTATTGCCGCTTAAAAATACCAATAAGGAGAAGAATTAAAAAAAGAGGATCAAAAATTATTTACGTAATGTAGTCGATACGTATGTTACTGTCTCGCTTCCTAATCACAGCGAAAAATTGATCAGTATAAAATCAATCGTCGAAAAAGGCATTAAGTACTTTGATTCTCGTTGCTTTTCGACTTTGCATTATTTACATAAAGATCGAGTACAATGCGCTTCGTTATTATAATAATAATAACAATACAATAATATATAAAATAACAATAGAGTACTAAAAAAAAACGTAGTTACTTTTAATAACTGCTCGTGTTTAAGTATTTCGCTTTAAACATAGAGCAGTGGCAAGCTCTCCTTTTGTTGATATTCCTTATACTTGTAGCACCAGTGTAACAGGAGAAACATTGCGCATTTCTTGCATGATTGTGGATACATACACGGGGTAGTTTCGAAAAAAACGAGGGGTACCGGCGCGTGTTCGAGAGATGAATCACGAATTTAGTATTGTCACTCGTTTTTCTTTCTTGCTAGACACCATGTATATCGAAGTATATATGAGTATAAAAATTAGTAGAATCTGTTTTTCCTTAACGTTAAGTACAATTTTGTCTTAATTTGTTGGTTCACCGATCTTGAGGAATTCTTAAAGATATGTCAAGAGATGAAATTATTTAAGAATAATTCCACTTCGAGCAATTGTATCCTTAAGAATATCTAAAGAATTAATCAAATCCTTAATCTAAATTATTTAAATCATTATTCACGCAAAATTCTAAACACGATGGAACACATAATATATATCTCAAAATTTCTGGCCCTCAAATCCGTCGATTAATCGAAGAGGTTCAATCTTATGATCTACAACTTCTCCGAATCTCTCGGATTTATATTCCTAGCTCTTTTCATACATATTTCAAATTATTATCCTTCTAAATCGCCCTAATATTTTATTCATATATTTTGCTGAGATAAATCTTGTTTATGTAAAATTATTTAAAAAATAATAAGATATTGAAATTACTTAAAAGATATAAATAAAAGATATATTTATTAAAGCGTTTAATCACCGACGATTAAAAGATCGATGATCCAACGTGTTGAAAGCTTCATTCTTCCTGACGGAATACTCTGGGTCAGACTGATACAAAAGTGACGTAATAATACTATAACTGCGGTTGTTCCGCGGTTGAGGCGAGCGTTTTTGTGATTGCTCGCTGCACTGACATTGCATTGGATCGAAAAAGGCAGAATTTTCGAAAAAAGACAAGCTGAACGAGTCTGTGCACTTTGCAGTAAAAAACGATTGTTGGTTTATTAATCCCTGCCGAAAAAGTTTCGCCGGTTCTCTGTGTCCTCTTTCGCGCGTTCCCGAGTTTGCAAGGATCTTTATATATCTGAATGCCTCTTTAAACATTTTTCCATTTTCCCTCTTGAATCCATCAATCCAGAATCCTAGATTATATTATGTATGTAATCTTTCATTTTTCTTTATATCTATTGATTCTTTTTTTTCTTTCTCTCTCTCTCTCTCTTTCATTTCTTTTACATCCTATATTTCGTTCAAACTTATTTGACGCCTAAATCTTTGCCTAAATTCTAACATACCTTAGTTTTTCATTTCTAAATATGGATCTATCATTTGGTATATTTATCCTTCGCTTTTCCCATTTTCAATTCTTGAGATTTTCAAACTCAAGAACCTTTTATATTCTACATTCTATACATACGGAGACCAAAATCCTGGCTTTTACGATACTTTTGTTAACTTTCGGTGTGCCAAGATTTCCGATATATTTCTAAATTCTAAGAATCCAAAATTCTTGGACCGAGTTTAGCTGTTTTGTCTTTCTCTTTAACGTAATCTCTAGAGCCGTTCAAAGATAATTCTCACAAGAGAATAGACGGAATCTTTTTTAGAAATCATCTGTCGAAAGATTAGCGTTGAGGGTGTTTCACAGCGTAGTCGCGCGATTCAGGTAGCTGTCGCGGGCAACACCGGCCAGGGCGTCCGCCATCGCTTTGCCAGTTTCCTGTACCATGCTCTTCAGAAAACTTGATTCCTTCTGCAGCAGCACGTGGGGATGATCGAATTCCTACGTACGATAAAAAGTTTGCCTTTGAGGAGAGAACTACAGATTTACGATCCACTCTTGTTACGAAAGCTGTATCTTTCACGGCGAGATAGCTCGATACATACTGCGAACTCGATAAAATATTTATGAGGTATATACACTGGGTGTGATGAAAATGTTCATTCCTGTTGACATTTATTTATATTGTGGAACGAGAAAAAGCGGCAAATATAAAGTAATATCTTTATTCTGTCGGAAATAATAGGAAGTTCGAGAGATAATTAAAAATTTGAGAGTTAATGATACAATAAATGCATAATTATAGTATTATGCACGATTATAGAATAAGAAATTCAACAATCGGGCTTCTTTACCCAAAGAACTACGTCAAAAAGACATCATAAAAATGACCAACAAATATTCATACGAAATTGTAAAATCATATATAAATAATTCAAACATCTCCAACATATAATTACGTTACTTTATCAAGCGACGCGGTAACACCGCGACGCCAAGTATATATAAAAATTCGTTTCAGCTTGTCAACGGTTTTTTACTATATGAAAGAGCGAGCAAGAATTCCATGCGACAATTCATTCTATCTAAGCGAAAAAACGAAAGAATCAATAAATTCATATATGATTATAAAATAATTAAATGATAAAAACGAGAATTTGATTCAACGATTTATTCCATCTAAATAAAAAGGAAGAAGTATAAAAAAGTTGACTCACCACTGCCTTGCCGGCATCCATAACCAGGATACGGTCGCTGTCCATGACGGTGTTCAATCGGTGAGCGATCGTCAACACCGTGCACTTCTCGAACTTCTTTCTGATCGTCGTCTGGATGAGTTCGTCTGTTCGCGGATCCACATTGGCGGTCGCCTCGTCCAGCACAAGTATCGGATTGTTTCTGATGATGGCACGTGCCAGGCAAACCAGCTGCCGTTGGCCGACGCTAAGATTGGAGCCGCCCTCGTTGACGTGTGCCTGCAGGCCCATCTCCTTCAACTCGACTTCCTCAAGTGCCTGCCACAGCAGGTCGTCCGGATACGAATCGAATGGATCGAGGTTCCGTCTCAGAGTACCGGAGAATAGGAACGGTTCCTGCGGGATAATGCTGATCTTGGAGCGCAGATCGTGCAGACCGATCTCACTAGTGTCAATGCCGTCGATCTCGATCGGGCCTTCTATGTCGGCCAGGCGGAAAAGAGCTTGAATCAGAGACGACTTGCCGGCACCGGTCCTGCCAATAATACCAATCTTCTCGCGCGGAAAGATGACGAACCTGAGATTTTTCAATACCGGCGGTTCCAACGGCGCGTAACGCAGGTTCACGTTTTTGAACTCGATCTTGCCTTCCTGTGGCCACTCGGACTTAGGCTTTTTATCAGGGGCGCTCTCAAGAGGAGGTTCGCTCTCCACTTTGCTGCAAGAGAATTAAAGTATTTGGTTTAGAGATTAAACATATATTTAAATGAATTTTATGAGTTTGAAGACATTTAGATATATCGAAAGATACAAAAGTGTGGATATTGAAAGAATCAAGATTGGAAAAATATACAAGATCTAAATGAAAAGATCTAAGATTCTAAAAATTCAAAACTTTCAAAGATCCAAAATGTCAAACATGTAAAAGTCGAAAGAATTAGAAATTTAAGAATAAAGAAATCTGAAACGAAGATAGACACTCGTACCTGTATTCGAGGATGCGTTCTACAGAAGTCATCTGGTTTTCCAGCTCGGCGCTCTGGCGCATGCCCCACTGGAACATGCCGGTGAGGCCGATACTCTGGGTGATCGCTAGGCCTACGTATCCACCCTCCATTGAGCCACGAGCATAGTTGTCCATCACAAGGAAGCTTAATGTCACCAGCACGATATATAGCACGCAGAAAATGTCCAACCAGAAACCAAAGGCGCGTGAGGACGCAATGAAGATATACCACGCAGACGAATGGAGATCTTGATGACGATCGAACTCCTCCGTGAGAATCTGGTCCGCTCCGAACGCGCGGATCGTCGGTAGTCCTTGAAGAGTCGCGCTTAAGTGAGCGAAAACCGGTGAGCGAGCTAAGGAGAAAAAGGTTGAACATTTCATTTACATTATTCGAAGAATTTACACTCAATCTAATGAAATCCGCGATAGATTTAACTTTAATCTATTTTATTTTATCGATCAAGTTATATCTATTCATTTTTTTTTATCGTAAAACGAGTCTAAGTTACTCACTGATGCCTTCAAGACGCTTGACGCTACGACTAGTAGCCAGGTAAAAGATTCTCAAGTAGTAAAAGATAATGCCGACGATCAGAGTGGGGATCAGCAACCAAACATTCGCAATGGCAACTACGATGATGATGCCGAGCAACGACAGACCAATCTGTAGGCAGTCAATGAGTGCGGTAGGCAGTATCTCATCCACCGCACCCATGTCTTTAGAGAACCGATTGAGCACACGGCCTGATGTGTTAGTATTGAAGAAACGCATTGTGGCGCGGCTGATGCTGCGAAACATGTGATCGTGTAGCCGTATGGAGGCACGCATGCACGCCCTGAAGAAGGCAAACGAACGCATCAGAGTCACGCCGATCGTTAGCACGGTCACCACGGTGAAAATATAGATGCATTGTATGCGCGTGAGAGGACTCCTCGGATCTTCCACGACGCCGTCTTTAGTTTGATTCACCTGTGAAAATAAATTAAGACCGAGACGTTGAAGTATGTATTACGCGGTTTTTCGAAATCTAGATTTCTCAAATTTTTTGAAAGAGAGATTATACATTCGCCGATTATCTCAACTCGTATACAATTATACTTACGTAGTTTTCTTCGATGTCGACCCACCTCGCGATAAAGAAATCACCGCCGCTGGCCGCTAATTGCGATAATACGCAAAGCATGGTAACCATGAATATTACGCACCAATTGCCGCCGGCGCGAAAGTAATCCCCGTACACTTTGCCGGCAACATTGCCAACTGTCCGCATCTCGGCCATCTAAAAAAATTAACAAGATTAATATTATATATTAATAAAAATATTATAAATTAATAATAAAAATAAAATATTATAAATTAATTAATATTATATATTAATTTACATAACATTACAATCTATATTAAAATTCAGATTGTGCAATAATTGGAATTACCTCGTCAGGTTCCTGTTTGGTAGTATCAATTGTCATAAAGGAGCTCAGGGATGTAATACTGCCGGTACGCGAATTGCTTCGGCTAACGGGAGCCGAAGGGGGTCGAGAAGATTTCTCATCCGTTTGCGTTTGATTCTCCAATAGCCGACCGAAATCCACTCCCATAGAGCCCAATTCGTCATAAGTACTGATGAACAAAAATATCCCTTATATAAAATGATGAAATGACGTACTACGATATTCTATATATTTCTTTAAATTATATTCTCGTTCAAAGATTTGCTGATCGATATAAAAAGGATAAAATAACTAGAGAAAAGAAGATGCTAGGGTCGTACCCTTCTGCTTGGATGGCTCCGTCCTTCAGAACGATAATTCTGCCGACATTATGCAAGTATTGCAATTGATGGGTCACAAGAATACGGGTCTTTCCGCGCAGATACTTGTCGATGCACTCTTCGAACATGTGTTTGCCCACGTGAGCGTCCACGGCGCTCAAAGGATCATCCATGAGATATATGTCGGCTTCGGCGTAAATAGCTCTCGCCAAATTTATTCTGATAATCATTAATATATACATATACACACTTATATATAAATTTTTATTATTTTTATTATTATTATTATTATTTATATAACACAAAAAGAAAATCATAAACACGCAATTTGTGTCGTAATCTGTAAACCGATTCTGTACGACACTAACATTCAATTCTATTTTAAGGAAATTTTTTATCGGAATAATCTAGGAAACCAACCTTGCACGCTGGCCACCGGAAAGACTAATACCCCTCTCGCCTACTATCGTCTTATCGCCATAAGGTAGCAAGCTGAAGTCCCTCTTTAACTGGCACACTTTAGTCACGCGATCATATCGGACCTGATCCATCTTTCGTCCAAACAAAATGTTTTGTCTCACCGATCCGGCGAACAGCCACGGCTCTTGACTGGCATAAGCAATTTTGCCATTAATCTGTGTAAAAAAGAACATGTTTAAGAACATGATAAAATTATTTTCTATTATATTTTGATAAATAATTAAATATTTTATTCCTCTTCGAGCAAAATTTGTTTATCACGTTAACTTACTCGGGTTTATTTAATTTAACATTATCATCAAAAAGGGACTGTACACATACCTGAATGGAACCTTGCTGCAAACGTAGCTCCTTCAGGATGACGTTCATCAGGCTGCTTTTACCTGCACCAACCTGGCCAACAATGGCGATCAATTCACCCGGGCGTACCTTAATGTTGATATTTTGCAAAGTGTCCTCCGTCTCATAATCCAGCCACTTGGCGCTACCATTCTCGATGGAAATATGGTACTCGTTACCCGATTGATCCGCGGTCACTCGATCGTTTTTCTTCTGGTTGGCCAGATCTTTTTTCGCATTTTCCTTGTAGTTCTCATTCGCGTTCTCCTTGTAGTTTTCATTCGCGTTCTCCTTGTATTTCTTGTTCACGTTCTCCTCGTAATTCTCATTCGCATTTTCTTTGTATTTCTCCTTCGCGTTTTCTTTCACTATCTTAGTTTCGGGAGATGCCACTTCATCATACATCATGAAGTTCTGCAAGCGTTTTATAGATACCATCGCCTCCGCCACTTGCGTTATTCCTGGAAAAAGAGAAAAAACAAGGATAGAAAAAAACGCAGATAGAAGAACAAGAGAGTAAGGATAAGAAAGAAGAAAGATAACAAGAAATAAAGAATTCAAAAAAGGAAAAAATACTGTAAGCTCGTCGATGTTCAAGTGTTATTAATTAATTACGTTCGCTACACGTAGTGACATATATATACACACCTTGCGGGAAAAAAACGGTCATAGTCGTACGCAGAATGTTGTAATAAGCGGTTATCATAAACACTTTCTCGGCCGTAATCTTGAAGCCGAACAACACGTAAGCCAGCACCGTGATAAACAGCGACATCCTCGTGGAGAAAATGATGAATGACAAGGTGACACCTCTGATATACGACGTCCCTCGGATGACGTTGACTTCCTTCCTATGAACAAATTTTGTCTGTTTTTTTTCTTTCTTTTTTGCTTTCTCTCTTGAAAAATTGTTTATTTTTTTTTTCGATCCGCAAAAAATATTGCCACCTGCTCCAATGAAGCGTACGATCCAACGAAAATACCGCAGTAAAATAAGGTGTAGACATCTCGATTAAATACGCGTGTGAATTAATTAATTTGTTTTTTTTAAATAGCGTTTTTTTTTTAAACCGTCGCATGTGCATGAAAATTGTCGCAACATTGATAATTTATTTTCGATGACAGAGTGCGGAGTTCATTAAACTCAAAATTATTCGATATTGAGAATTAATGGTTTCCGGCTACTTAAACTTTAGGAATGTAACGCAGGGGCAACGTTTTGATTTCGTAGGCAATTTAGATTTAACTTTATTTCAAATTAAATTCGAAGAGAGAGTTTAGATTTATTTATATATAACATTCTAAATTAATATATTTATATATACACAATATTCTCAAAATATTCAAAAAACAAAACAAATATTTAAAGAACAAAACTTTATCTTCGTAAGTTTTCTATTAAAGACTATATTTTTCTTTTTCTTGATAATACAGACGCGATAAAATTGAGTAATAAAAGGTCGCCGTTGTTTTCGATTATTATCATTTTATCTGATTGTATCAATAGTGATTTCAATTGAAATAGAAATAAAGCAAGTGCCGACTCACTCTCAACAGCTAGTTTATGATGATTCAAACCGGAACAGATTGTTGAAGAAAAAGCGAACTATTAATCACTTAAATTCTTAAATACTTTCCGCTTCTGTTAACGAAAGTACGAGATTGCGTTACGATTTTTTTTTTTATTTGACGCATAATTATATATATAACACAATTAAGCGCGTTACTCGCGTAAACAACATAAGTGGCAATACTCACTTTCTCGCTTTTTCTATGAGCGCGCTAAATGGCTTTTCCCAGGTGTACATCTTAATAGCTTGAATTCCGCTAATAATCTCGTTTGTCAATCGCACCCTCTCGTCAGTTCTGATTGCAGTTCTTAACCTCAGCTCAGATGATTTTTTGCCCAGCCATCCTGAAAAATTTCGAAATCAAGGAGATAAGATAACAAAACAAAAATTATATACTCGGGTGTCTTATGTATATATAATCGTCGAATATTAAACAATATGTATTAAAAAAATAGAAGAATACACAGGATTTATTATAATTTTATTATTAAGACTATCAGAAAATAGAACAAAATACAAAACCGAAATAAGAAATTTAGAAATGCAATCACAAAATCACGACGATTCTCGTCGCGAAACACAAATTTTTACCGACTTCTTTTATCTCAATTATTCTTCGCAGATACACGATATAGGTATACATTAAATCATTTTCTCACTCGCTGAATTATGTTGAGAGACTTTGCGATTTCGTAATTTTCTCGCGAGAATTACTATTAATAATAGTTAAAAATAGTTGGAAGAGTACGTCTCACCTTGCAAAGGAATAAACATGAGCAGAGAGGCGACTCCGATGATAGCGGATATTCCGATGTCAAGGAAGTAGTACATGAAGAACGTAATAATGATAGTCTCTAAGGGTCCGATCCATAAGTAATGGAGGAATATGATGCTAATGTCGAACCTATTGACATCGTTGGATAATAAATTGACTGCCTGCCCAATTGTCGTCTCGCCCAGCGCGGTCCTAGTCAGCTTCAACGTCTTGCGATAGATGAGCGAGCAGCAAGCTATACGTATTTTCATGCCCATATGCAGGATTCCCATCATATATGGATGTATGACAAACACATTGACGGCGGAACACAAGATGATGCCGGCCGCGTACAAATAAGCGTGGAACTCGTCAACTTCCTGGGTATTGTAATACCGTAGCAGCTGGCCCAGAAAGATCGGTTGCAACAGCCTGCGTCAATATTCAGCGAGAAAATTCATTAGATGCGAGAAAATTTATGTACGATATAAAAAATTCATATTATCTTCAACTACATAGTAAACTATTTACGTGTCTAACGCTCGTACCTGAGCAAGATCTCCATGACGGCCAGAACTATTCCGTATAGCAGGACCTTGAAGCCGAAGCACTTGATGATGACTCTCAGCAAACTGGGCTCGCTCACCTTCTTTTGGGATCCAGTCCTCGCATTCCTCTCCAGCCGACGTTTGTACGCCTCGCATTCTTTCTCCCAGGCCTTCGCTATTTTAACACCAAGAATACCACTTGTATGCTCTTTAATATACAATTTAAATAATAATATATATAATTATTTAATAATATATAATTTTAAACTTTTCGACTCTATCTAAAGCAATTAAAATCATCGTCATCGTCTTGTTCGATTCTCATTGTTTTCATTCAATGGAAACATCTGAGATTACATTGAAGTGTAAAGGATCACAGATCGATGAGAATACGTTGTTGGATGTATGACGAACACATTGACGGCGGAACACAAGATGATGCCGGCCGCGTACAAATAAGCGTGGAACTCGTCAACTTCCTGGGTATTGTAATACCGTAGCAGCTGGCCCAGAAAGATCGGTTGCAACAGCCTGCGTCAATATTCAGCGAGAAAATTCATTAGATGCGAGAAAATTTATGTACGATATAAAAAATTCATATTATCTTCAACTACATAGTAAACTATTTACGTGTCTAACGCTCGTACCTGAGCAAGATCTCCATGACGGCCAGAACTATTCCGTATAGCAGGACCTTGAAGCCGAAGCACTTGATGATGACTCTCAGCAAACTGGGCTCGCTCACCTTCTTTTGGGATCCAGTCCTCGCATTCCTCTCCAGCCGACGTTTGTACGCCTCGCATTCTTTCTCCCAGGCCTTCGCTATTTTAACACCAAGAATACCACTTGTATGCTCTTTAAGGGGTGTGTACAGATCAGTTACTTCAAGATCTCTGCGGTAACCCACCCAGAACGTGCGTAGGACCCAACTGCGAAGAAAAAAATCAAAGCATACACGTTTTACTCGCACAAACCGTCCACTATTCATCCAATTCGTGCGAATCACGCTTTCTCCTTTAAAATATTATATTCCACATCTCTTATCTTTCGTTCAAGATATTATTTTCGTAGTTTGTTTCGCGAGATAAAATTTTTTTTTTTTTTTTAAATTTCAGATTGACAGAAATCAAAGATAATGTCGATATTTAATGCAATCATGACGCAAGCAAGGCTCGAAACTAACAATTGACAATGGTTTTTGCAAAATTCGACGTCTATAAAATCAAAAATTATTAAAAAATATATTTTATCGATCATACATTGATTAAAAAAAATATATCTTTTTAAAAACTACTAAATTATTATGATAGAATATTATACGATAACGACGGTTAATATTTTAAGGAAAGAAGAAATTATTAAAGATATTTCATTAAATTCGTACACCATTCAAATGTGCAAACATTTTCTGGTCGTTGGATTTTGTAAATATAATCCTCAATAATGTATCTGACCGAAAAACCTTTTCAAGAAAAACGACTTTTCGTAAAAATATTACTCGGAGATCGAATCTAAATCATGATTGCTAGATAAAAAGATTGAATTTAAATTAGGATGATAAGAACTAACAAAATATGAATCAGATGAAATCATATGCACTCTTAAGTGCACTTGATTTCTTATTATCCGAATAAGATAAAATCGATAAGGCAAGAAGATAACGCAAACATTGCGGAGTATAAATATCGAGGATTAAAGAAAAAACGATTTGCTGAACAAAGTAGTGCAAGGATGTTCCAGGGACATTATTCGCATCTTATCGGCGGCTCTCGATCCAAAGATAATTCACATCTCACAGCCCGCTTATCACATTCAATAAGCCGATTAAATATTTCTACTACGTACTATTTATATCTCTAATATTAAGATGACGCGCAAAGTAGAAAACAAGGAGAATCTACTTCATTTTTTATCTATCTGTTTTTGTCTTCAATATCGATTATTCTAGGAAATATTTAGATATCTAATCGCTCTATGAAAGTGCGCAAGCTATAATTTAAATGGAAGATGATATCATATCTCTTCGAATATTTCCGTAAATCGACAATATGAAAAATTCGATATTATTACTTATATTATAAATTTTAAAAAATATGTGAGATTATATTATCAAAGTGTAAAAAATCTGACAAGAATGTCGAATTAATTCTAATAAAACCCATTGCAACTTGATAATATAATTATTAATATATACAATTTAAATAATAATATATATAATTATTTAATAATATATAATTTTAAACTTTTCGACTCTATCTAAAGCAATTAAAATCATCGTCATCGTCTTGTTCGATTCTCATTGTTTTCATTCAATGGAAACATCTGAGATTACATTGAAGTGTAAAGGATCACAGATCGATGAGAATACGTTGTATTAATTCTAATTAAATCTATCGTAATCTAAACCTCCCTCTTGTGTGCGGATTCTCTAAAGAAATTAAAATTGTCGTCTTGATTGATTCTCTCGAGTTTTCATTCGCACATCTACGATGACCGTATCATTCTGTTGCTTCATAAAGAAGACTCACGTCCACGAGAAGCCATCAAAATATCATTACACTATCGATTTCTTGCTGTACTAGCATCTCCTCTTCTCTTCCTCTTCCTCTCTTATTTTTATCAGGGATTGTATCAAGTGACACTTGTCTCGTTTTTCATACTTACGTGAACGTCAACGCGCTGAGAATATTTGTGCCCGCTCTAGGATTCTTCACTTTCTCGGTTTGCACTTTCCCATCCATGATGATGATGATGATGATGATGACACTGTCTCACTCTCGAGGCTCTTCTGCAAGATATAATAAACTCTCATGTACACACACGGATGTATATTTGCACGTCGCGATTGAGTAACATCAGAGGATGTTCGGCGCAAAAAAAAGGCCAAAGAAGACAAAAGGAGAGAGGAGAGATAGATCGACATTCACACCGTATATCTTCGCGTAGCTCTCTGTGCCGTCTCTTTTTCCTTTTTCGTTAAATGGGGGTGAAAATTTAATAACTAGAAGTATCGCTTGATATCTTATCACCGTTACATGCGTGCAACGAATCCAAGTGGTCCTCGATATTGCACGTTATCAGGTGCATGACGCGTGTGTTTTCACATATCCGATCTCTCGAAATAATTTTCATGTACTGGGCGTAATTTGTACTTGCGCGTTGTTACATCTCGTTATGAAACATAAAGCAGCTGCTTGATAACATTGTAGATCCTCTGCCTCTGATAATATTTCCTCCTTCCACATACATATTTTTCATTTCGATTTCTTTTTCTCTCGATATTTTCGAATTTTTTCTCTACATTAATATTTTTTTCGAAATGTTTTATAACTAATTAAAAGTTCCTAATTTAATTTATTGTAATTTATATCTATAATCTCTCTCTCTGACATTATTCCTTTACATATTGATAAAATTTCATATTATTGCATATAATTGCAGCGTTTATCAGCGCGTTAATTACCTTCAACTTTAGTTGCACAATATTAACCCGCGAGTAGTTGCTTTTTTTCAAAAATAGATGAGATATAATTGAAATCGATGGTTTAAGGGGGCATACCCGTTTGAAACTTCGAAAATTGAGTAGATTTTTTTAGATTTTTTTGCAGCGCAATGATAAAAATTTTTAATTTTTTTACGATATTAATACAATATTATTAACTTAAATAAAAATTTTCAGCCTAAAAAAATTTTTTTTTAAAGTTATGCGAATATTTGCAGATTTATGTTTTCATACACGGTGTCCGTGAAAACTCGGGCTACGTTCGACGGATTGACTTCAAATTTTACATGCGGGTTTCTAATAAGATTCCGCATCTGCCAACGAAGCTTTTATTTAATCAGATTCCCCATTTTTTTGTTATTAAAAAAAAAGATGGACTTTTTTTCAAAAAAATCGAAACTTTTTTTTTAACACGCCATTTTTTTATTTTTTGAAATTTTGAAAAAACGCTTGGATAGCAGATGACTATTACAATGTTTAATAAGAAAAAACTTGGATTTTTGATCGATGAGAATACGTTGTATTAATTCTAATTAAATCTATCGTAATCTAAACCTCCCTCTTGTGTGCGGATTCTCTAAAGAAATTAAAATTGTCGTCTTGATTGATTCTCTCGAGTTTTCATTCGCACATCTACGATGACCGTATCATTCTGTTGCTTCATAAAGAAGACTCACGTCCACGAGAAGCCATCAAAATATCATTACACTATCGATTTCTTGCTGTACTAGCATCTCCTCTTCTCTTCCTCTTCCTCTCTTATTTTTATCAGGGATTGTATCAAGTGACACTTGTCTCGTTTTTCATACTTACGTGAACGTCAACGCGCTGAGAATATTTGTGCCCGCTCTAGGATTCTTCACTTTCTCGGTTTGCACTTTCCCATCCATGATGATGATGATGATGATGATGACACTGTCTCACTCTCGAGGCTCTTCTGCAAGATATAATAAACTCTCATGTACACACACGGATGTATATTTGCACGTCGCGATTGAGTAACATCAGAGGATGTTCGGCGCAAAAAAAAGGCCAAAGAAGACAAAAGGAGAGAGGAGAGATAGATCGACATTCACACCGTATATCTTCGCGTAGCTCTCTGTGCCGTCTCTTTTTCCTTTTTCGTTAAATGGGGGTGAAAATTTAATAACTAGAAGTATCGCTTGATATCTTATCACCGTTACATGCGTGCAACGAATCCAAGTGGTCCTCGATATTGCACGTTATCAGGTGCATGACGCGTGTGTTTTCACATATCCGATCTCTCGAAATAATTTTCATGTACTGGGCGTAATTTGTACTTGCGCGTTGTTACATCTCGTTATGAAACATAAAGCAGCTGCTTGATAACATTGTAGATCCTCTGCCTCTGATAATATTTCCTCCTTCCACATACATATTTTTCATTTCGATTTCTTTTTCTCTCGATATTTTCGAATTTTTTCTCTACATTAATATTTTTTTCGAAATGTTTTATAACTAATTAAAAGTTCCTAATTTAATTTATTGTAATTTATATCTATAATCTCTCTCTCTGACATTATTCCTTTACATATTGATAAAATTTCATATTATTGCATATAATTGCAGCGTTTATCAGCGCGTTAATTACCTTCAACTTTAGTTGCACAATATTAACCCGCGAGTAGTTGCTTTTTTTCAAAAATAGATGAGATATAATTGAAATCGATGGTTTAAGGGGGCATACCCGTTTGAAACTTCGAAAATTGAGTAGATTTTTTTAGATTTTTTTGCAGCGCAATGATAAAAATTTTTAATTTTTTTACGATATTAATACAATATTATTAACTTAAATAAAAATTTTCAGCCTAAAAAAATTTTTTTTTAAAGTTATGCGAATATTTGCAGATTTATGTTTTCATACACGGTGTCCGTGAAAACTCGGGCTACGTTCGACGGATTGACTTCAAATTTTACATGCGGGTTTCTAATAAGATTCCGCATCTGCCAACGAAGCTTTTATTTAATCAGATTCCCCATTTTTTTGTTATTAAAAAAAAAGATGGACTTTTTTTCAAAAAAATCGAAACTTTTTTTTTAACACGCCATTTTTTTATTTTTTGAAATTTTGAAAAAACGCTTGGATAGCAGATGACTATTACAATGTTTAATAAGAAAAAACTTGGATTTTTAATTTCAGATATGGTCTACGAATGTTTTCATGCACACCATGGAGCTACCTAAAATTTGGAGTTCCACAAATATTCCCATAACTTTTAAAAAATTTTTATTTAGGTAGTTAATAATATTGTATTAATATCATAAAAAAATTAAAAATTTTTATTAAGTTGTTGCGCTGCAAAAAATCTAGAAAATGTACTCATTTTTCGAGGTTTCAAACGGGTATGCCTCATTAATACTCCTAATACAAAGCGACAAGCGCACTAAAAGTCTTTATCTTGTTTTTTACATCACTCAAAAAAATGTCTTGCTGATATAGGTAGATTTCTAGGTGTCACAACAAAACTTTATCGCTATTTTTTGTATCTGTTAGAATATTGTCTGTTACATATAGAATTTATAGCAGCAACATTCTAATAATATCTTCTAGAAAATTTAGGTCCCATTGCCAAATGTTAATCACTGCATTGGATAAATATGAGTTTCGATACTACAGAACGATCTTTGTGAGAAATATAACTGCCAATTATAACTGCAGCATCGAAAAATTGAGAAAAATTGTTTAAAAGAGCTAGATAGATTGAGCGCGTTATACAAATATGTTAGACGTGAGGATTATATATTCATTTGTTTCTTGCCGCTAATTTTTTCTGTCTACCACAGCCAAACTTTATAACAAGTATGATTGGCCTTAACATGGATAGGCGCCACAGAAAAACATTCTTTCTAAATTTCACAAACAGTTCAGATATAAATTCTGTCTCTGTCACTTAGATTGATTAAATGCGAAACATATGCGATATCACAGTATTTGCTAATCATTTATGTACCTCAGTTAATTTTGCGCACCCAGAAAATTTTTGCTGTAGTTGCAATACCACTTTTTTGAATGATAAATAAACCGGTTATCTTTAACAATACAAAATGCAACATTAAGATGACCAAGTTAAAATAGAACCGTTTACATAAAGAACCGATGTATTATTCATTGATAAGTGATAAACATATTTCTCGAACAATAGATACAAGTATCTAAATACACTTTACATTAACTTAACTATTTTAATTTTTCTATTTTAATTTCTATCAATTTTACTATCTATTAGTTTAATCAAAGCTTGATAAATTAATAATCACGGTTTCTCAAGCCAACAATGTGAACGCTAATGTTTCGGAGGAATCAATTACCTCGTTAAACGCGAGAATTTCCGCAATGAATCAAGCGTCATCGAAATTGAATATTCTAAAAGTAAGCAAAAAAAAATGTAATATATGTGAATTTTCGCTGGAAGAAGTCTCTCTAAGCATAATTATTCTAACAAATTCGGATGTTAATACACATCGATGTATCTATCAAAACTTTATTTGTCACGTCTCTATCCGGACATGTACACAAGAATTTGCTACCTGGAAGACTATATGAAATATACATATTCATGGAAAATTTAACCCACGCGATGAAAACCCGCAGGGAAATTTAACAGATCGCAGCGCAAATTTAATCTGCCCTCGACGAATAACAAATTCATTACACTTTGTTACCAAATATTAAGTAATTAGCGCATGATATGTTATACAACTTCGGTGGATTTCACAAACGTGTTTATCATAGATTAGATTGTAATATGATCACAGATAAGATTTGTGATGTTTTAACAGATAAGAAACGTGGAGAAACCACGATGATTTCTATAAATCTCGTTAATCAATCACATTATTTAAAATTTTCTTGCTCCTCACAAATAATATTACTTCCTTAAAAATTTTACAAAAAAATTTTGAATATCGCCTTTTTCTTAAATTACGCTTCTTTCAAAATATCCTCAAGTCAAGATCAATTTTCTGATTTGGATGCGGCACAAAATGTAAACAGTGACATTTAGGAAATAATATAATTTCGATCTTGCATACATCGAGTTAATTGTAAATGAAATCACAGAACGGATACATGATACATGGCACTTTGATAACGAAATTGCGATAAACACAATCGAGACGATATAATAACTTGGAATTTCGCTAAAGACAATGTAAAAATATTATAATTTTTCGAGCATGTTTATGCATCTGTGAAAATATATTCCAAAAATGGGGATGACGTAAAAAAAAAATACAAATGTTAAAAAATTCTTAGATGTTAAAGCAACGCCTTAAAAAGTTAATAAAAGCCACAATACGCGATAGATTTCGTAGATAATTATTATTTTGGACCGATGACAATGATTATAAAACGCATAGTACAATGTAATATAAAAAATGATATGCATTTCTGATATATGATAAAATTAACGTGAACATCATCAAGTATAACAGAAAATGTCATTTTACAAAATTGTTACATAGGCTATTCAAATCTTTTAAAAAGAATTCCCTGATTTTCCAAGTATTTTTGTTCAACATTCCAGGTAAAAAGAATATTTTACAGATCTTTTGGTGCGATTTTCTGAAATAAGTTTTTCTTATTCTATGCGTTTTCTAATGTTTTTTATTTATACGAAGAGAACAAATACAAAGCTAAAGTTTAAGTTAAAGCTTAAGTTTCAAGTGCTGGATTTATACAAATATACTGGAACAAAACTGAATAATTTTCGTTAAAA